ATATATATATATATATATATATATATATATATATATATTATATATAACGCTGATATGAAGCCCCAAACAGCATTCAGCAGAACATCTAAACTATTGCAATGTATCATTAAACGTTTACAAAACGCTGAGTTCTGTTGAACGCAATCATTGATCATATTATGTTAACACATTTTTCAGCATAAAATATCAGGATAAAATGTCACATATACATATATATATACACGCGCGCACGTGCATACTATTACCTCGTATTTATATAGAAGTAACAACGTTTCATGCCATTGTATACGCTGTCAATAATTCGGAATATTTTGTATTGGTGTTTCGTTATTATAACTTTTCGGAAAAAATGTATGTTTTCAATATTTGGTGCAATTGCATTTCGGAAGTTTGTTTCGGTATTCGGATTTCAGTTTTGTGACTTTTCAGGAAAATTGTATGCTTCCAATATTTCTAAAATTGCATTTTAGAAGTTTCTCAAGTAAAACAGATAGTCAAAATAATGTCAATCTCACGTCATTTTCACCAAAAAGTGACGTAAATTTCAAAGTTTGGTTAATATTTGGTCAAAATGACGTCAGATTGATATTACTTTAACTGTCTGTTATACTTGAGTTGTCTCGGTATCCGGATTTCAATTTTGTGACTTTTCAGGAAAATTGTATGCTTCAAATATTTCGTTAAAATTGCATTTTAGAAGTTTCCCAAGTAGAACAGATAGTCAAAATATAGAATTATAATTTTAAGTACTGGCCTAAAGAGTTTGTTTGACAGCACTATACGCACTCAATCGCTAATTTTCTTTAACTAATAGCTCAATAATTATTGTAATTGTTTGCAACATGGTATAGAACTTTTTCATTTAGTATGATAAGTTTGATAAGTTTTTTTATTACAATCGAGGTGATTTTCGAGAATGATGGCTACGCCTCATCTCGCCCGTCGGGAAATGCAACTTACAATCGCAAAGGTCAGCTTCAGGATCGTTGACACAATGAAATCTACATGCAAAAAAAATTAGCCGCAGGAGCTAAAATAGAGTTGTTGCTGTTAAAATATATTTTTGAAATAGAAACAGTTATTGTGCTATCAAAGCTAAATTTATTAGTTGTTTGAACTTTAGCGATACAGCAAAAAATATTCGCTGCTAGACGTCTAAAGACGTCATTTAGACGTCATTAAGATGTTATAAACGTCTTAATGACATCTTAATGACGTCTTTAGATATCACCTTGCTCTCTGGGTACATATAATAGTAAAATAAAATTGTGTTCCTACGTTTAACGAAGAGAATTTTATCTTTTTAATTGAAAAGTATTTCTTAAGGTGTAATATATGATTATATAAATTTTCAGCCATATAGCTTTCAATATCAAAAAGTAAATAATTTAATTAAAAATTATATTTTCCATTAATTTTCCTTATTAATTTAATTAAAACTATAAATAAGATCTACTAGATTTATTTATACCTGTTTCTATCTTAACATCTTGTTTCTTACAATCAAGTGTTTGATAATTAACAACATAATGCTTGTGCGTGGGAAATAATATAGGCCCATTTGCTTTACGTTTCGATGTTTCAATTTACGCTTTGTAAGCACTTCACTTACACTTCCGTCACTTTTCGTTTACACTTTATTTACTCTCCAATTGCAATTTTCGCCAGGAGTTGACTGACTACAGGTTGCAACATTTTTTCTCGATGAATTTCGTAATACATATCGTATCCAGTAATTTGTTTTTTTTTGTAGTTTTCAGGAGATATGTTTTCCAATTGTATACGAAATACGTTACAAAACTTATCGATGAAAAGTGTTTCTACATTTAATCAGCCGACTGTATAGGATTTTTTCGTACAGTATGTTGAGTTCTATCTGCACACGAGTAGACGTATATGTTGTGTCAGACACCCTGCATAATTATTTTAATTGAAAGAAATTTGACAACGATGGATGTTACACAATTTCTATAATATTACGTTTTTTAAGGCAGTTTTGGATGAGGACGAATCAGAAGACGAATCAATAGTAACAGAAATATCAGAGCAACTTCAAGCCATTTTAGAAGATTTATGTGTACTACCAGACGATATAGTGCAAAAATCACTTAGAGAAATGATAGAAGAAGTTAATATGTAAGGAAAAATAATATATCATGTATAATTTTTTATGATTCACAATACAGAAAATAATAAAGACCCAGTAAAAACCAACTATATCAGTAACATAATATCAATATTATAATCTCCCACTCAACAATATAAATATAATATAAATCGTGTGACATGTAATAGTTATAGTGTTAAACAGGAAATTATAATATTAATGTAATATTACTGTTAGTTTATTGGAGGATTAATGAAGAAAAAAGCAATTCGCGTAACGATTTAAAATTAGCTACAAATTATATTAGTATACTAAGTTACTTCCCAATAACATCAAGTATTAGTAACATAACATCGATTTTATAATGTCAGTTCAATTATATAGTATGTTATGTATATGTTTTATAACATGTGACATTTACATAACATTTGTTGTAACATTTTTGTTGTTCAATGTCATGTTACTGATAATTGGTGATTGATTACTGATGACGGGTACTTGTTTACTGGGTTTATAGGCGTTTCTCATGTTTAACAATATAAATAATTTATAAATGATATACAGGTTGTCTGATAATCATGTAATCAAATAACGTTCTTGCGTAGGTAGATCATATTAGATTGAACAGGAAAGTCCTTTATTATTTTATGAATTTTTAAATAGTTTTTAAGGAACTAATTAGACAATATCCAGTGAGAAATAAATGCGCGGAAAGTGTTAGGACGAGCTTTGGAAGCCAGTGTGGCTGGATAGTGGAGGTTTGAAATTTAACATTATGTACAGCTTGCCGTTGTCTGGGGATTGTTAAATAATTTGAGCCATCTTGAACAAGATTATGTTTATCAAGATCGTTGCATTGCTTCCCGCGCACTTATTCGCTAATAATGTTTAATTAAATCCTTGATAATTATTACAAAATAATAGACAACTTTTCTGTTCAGTCTTATGTTCGAGTAGTATATCATTAACTGTTAGATACCTCCAGTATATGTATATTATAATACAATTAATAATATGTTGTAAAAGTTATATTCCTTTCATTAAAAATAAAATCGTCTAAACCTGACGTTAACTATTGCTTTTAATTTAATTTAATTTCTTAATTTTAATTTAATTATTTTAATATTAAGAAATATATGGGCGAGAGGTGATTGAACGGAGAAAAAAGGAGGGAGAGAGAGAGAGAGAGAGAAAGATTTTCAAACTTTTTTTATTAGAAAAACTGGAAAAATCTGTAAAAATTCTTACTTTCTCTGAATAACCCAATTTTTAGAGAAATTCTGAAATTTTTATTAAAAAATTTTCACCAGGGAAGTTCTGATTATAGTTAAATTTGTCGTGGCCATTTTTTTGCTAAAACCATTTGATGCTAGAAAATATCCGATATTTTCAGCACAAAAATGAGTAAGACAAATTATTAATTTACAAGATATTTTAAATAATATAATATATGTAACCGATAAACTGGTTTTGTGTAACACAGTATACGTAACTGGAAAACATCCATTATTTTATCATCTTTTTTCATATAATGAGCAATGATCGAATTACCCTTGGTCTACATTCAATAATTTAAGATTTAAGCCTTAAAAATTTACTAATCCTATTGGATCATTCTTATAAATCCCAATCTACAATAGGTGATTTAAACCCTAAACTTTAAGAGATTGACCAATCACAATCAAATTTGAAGAGAATAATCTAATGTGATTGATTAATTTCTTAAGGCTTAAAGCTTACTATACCTATTGTAGATCGGGACTAATAGGCTGCGTTCCGAAATTCACTGCCAGTACTGAAATCTATTAACGTGTTCGACTGACTCTGGGTTAGGGCCGTAGCACACAGAAAAACTTAAGCAGTAAGACGTAAGCAGTAAGCAAATTGACCAATCACAGTCGTTGATTCTTCTTACGGTCCAAGAATCAACGACTGTGATTGGCTGATTCGCTTACTGCTTACGTCTTAAGGCTCGTCTACAATAGCTGTAAGAATATGGCTGTAAGGCTGTAACGTGAGCTGTCAGCGAATGAAAATAATTCATTTCGCGTCTTACAGCCTTACAGCCATATTCTTACAGAAATTGTAGACGAGCCTTTACTGCTTAAGTTCTTCTATGTGCCGCCAGCTTTAATCCGAGAGCGATTAATGACATCATACGTCTCTACTAGCCAATCATAAAGCTTATAAGTACTTGTTTGACCAATAAATGTAGGCTGAATAACTCAGAGTGGGTTAACCCAGAGCCAGTAGAACATGCTATATAGTTCATGTTACGTATATTATAGAATTTCAGCACTGGCAATGAATTTCGGAACGCAGCCATAGTCGACTGTGATTGGTCAATTTTTAAGGCTTAAATCTTAAGGCCAAATCACACTAGTGATTGGCGATTGACGATTGACAATTAAAGATTAGATTTTAACGAATCAACAAGCTTCAGCCTTGGCTTGCTTTGTTTCAATTGGTCAAGTTCCAATCTTCAAACGTCAATCATCTATCGCCAATCGTTAAGGCCAAATCATACTAGCGATTGACGATTAACAATTAAAGATTAGATTTTAACGAATCAACAAGCTTCAGCTTTGGCTTTCTTTGTTCCAATTGGTCAAGTTCCAATCTTCAATCGTCAATTATCTATCGCCAATCGTTAATGTGATTTAGCCTTTAGTGTGATTTGGCCTTTAAGCCCATTCTACAATTACATAAACGTAGCCGTGAATGTAAGAGTCGACCAATCCGAATGTTTTATTCTTTGATTGCTTTATTCTGATTGGTTGTCATAATCACTTACAACCACTTACAACGTTCACGCAATTGTAGAATGGGCTTTATGCGTCGTCTACAATGGCAGTAGGAGTAGTAGTAAGAAATAAGCAATAAGCAAATTGACCAATTCCATTTTCACGATTCAAGAATAATCGATTGTGATTGGTTCATTTACTTACTGCTTACTACTATTCCTACTGCCATTGTAGACGACGCATTAAATCACCGAATGTAGACCACCGAATGTAGATTTTAAAGGTATAAAATGGGTACAAATTGATGATAGGTTTTTAATATTAATTAATATTTATTGTTGTACAATTTTATAATAATAATGTTACAATTATATTTCATGTTATATTTAATATTATATGTTATATGTTATATTATATTATATTATATTATATTATATTATATTATATTATATGTTATATTATATTATGTTGTATTATATGTTATGTTATATTATATTTATTATTATATGTTATATTTTATATTTAATTTTCCATAAGTATAAATCATACAGTATCATACTTTACACACTTACCTGTTTACAATTACGACATAACCTGTCATCGATCTGTATTGTCTAACAACTATAGGCAGTATGAATCAGCTTCAATGGACAACCAATTAGAATTGTGCTATATTTATAGTTCATCGACGCCATTTTGCTTCAAAACTAGACATTGTCCAGATTCTTTCTTATAGGAACTCTAGATTAACCTAGGACCAGTCGAACATGCTATTGGCCTGATTTACATCGTACACTTTATACGCGTACTAAATAGTAACTTTCTATTAGTTAATCTTAATATTGACAATGCATATCAACGGCGACGCGTTTAATTAATACAATACATTTCCTTGATGAGTATTATACCAGCTTAATATACCGTTGTTTATATATATCGTCGATATTAAGATTATCTAATAGAAAGTTACTATTTTATTGTTTAACTTTACGATGAATAAAATTGGACGATTTGATTGGTCTGCGAAGGACGACGCAACGCGTGACGTGCTAAGTGGGAACGCACTCTTAGTCCTTGTTCCCTGTTCCATGTTCTTATTGGGTGCTTTCCAATTGCTTAACACATCTTGACATACACGTACACAAACCAGTTTATTGGTCACATATTATCTAAAATATCTTGTAAGATAATATGCAACCAATAAACTGGTTTTGTGTAATATAGTGTACACAACTGGAAAGCACCCATTGATTAATGGCTCCTGCACACAGGACGCGGTAATGCTTGCCGCGCGGCGGAAGTTCGCGCGACAGCCAATCAATATGCTGCTTTCCGTAATAACTTTCTAGCTCTTACGGAAAAACAACATATTAATTGATTGTCGCATGGACTTCAGCCGCGCGGCAAGCATTACCGCGTCCTGTGTGCAGAAGCCATAAGTTTAACAACCGTATTTAGTAAAATCCGATTGATATATTCTTTTATATATCCATCTAGAAATCTAGAAATATACTCCAATCGGATTCAAGAGTTCACTAACTACGATAGTTACTAAATCGGTTTTAAGCTGCCGTGTAAACAAAGTCACTGTCTGTTATTTGGCATTGTATATAGTAAAGATGCCCGATTCTTATGGCTCCTGCACACAGGACGCGGTAATGCTTGTCGCGCGGCGGAAGTTCGCGCGACAGCCAATCAATATGCTGCTTTCTGTAATAACCTTCTAGCTCCTACGGAAAAACAACATATTGATTGGCTGTCGCGCGGACTTCCGCCGCGCGGCAAACATTATCGCGTCCTGTGTGTAGGAACCATTAATCGATTCGATTCTTTTCCTAACAAATTTAGGGAAAAAGGGTTGTTCGTGCTGCTTGCATGTTTCATACTTTTCGGTTTTAAAAAGAGATGGACGCCTAATCAGATGTTTGGAAGAAACAATCGAGTTGGTTGTCTCGTTTTTGCTTCTTCAAAACATTCCAATATACTTCTGTCTAGTTTTAAATACGAAAAATGCGAAGGTGCAAACAATATGAATAAGCCTATTTTTGGGGAAAGAATCGAATCGATTCAGAATCGGGCATCTCTAGTGTATAGGGCTTATAGAGGATTCACACCGCATCCGATGTTCAATGTACGACGTCTGTTATCCAATAGGAGAACAGCTTTCTAATAGAGAATTCAATTCTCCATTGGGAAGCTATTTTTTTATTGGATATCGAACGTCGTGACATCGAAATGTGAATCCTCTATTAAGAGCGGGCAAAACATGAAACACACTGACCATAGATGAGCATACATACTTCTGATCTGAGACAATTTTCCATAAACATCCACAGAGAGCAGAACCATCGACGGTGCGTGCGCATGCGACTGCGCAAGCGCGAGCGACGAGGTAGGTTCCTCCATTTAGCACTGCACCTTCAGGTATCCCGGTGTGAGGGTAGCGCGACAGTGCAGTGGGGCTTGGTATAGCGTCGCGACGTGGTTTCCCGCAGTTGCGTAATCTCCGTAGACCGTCGAGCGGGACGAAAGAGGGAAGCAGAGATACGACCACGGTGAACTGCGTCGAGAGCTGTCGTGTCGCGGCGAGCTATTGTGCTGACGAGCAACGACTACGACGACGACGACGCTAACAGTAACAGAGAACAGCGAGGATCTCTGCTGCGAGTGACGCTACGACAGCTCGACGACAGTGCCTCCTGCAGACCAAGAGATATGTCGCAGAGTGGAGGCGAGCGTTGCTAGCCTTAAAAAGGATGCGGTGCTCGTCGACAGATCGGTAACGAACGGTGAGCAGCTCGACATCCCCAGGAACATGTCGGCGATCAAGGGCAGTAGCACGCCGCCGGGCGCGCCGCGCCAGTTGCCTGTCTTGAGCAACTTCAAGTACGAGTACTTTGTCGCGGGCATCTCCGGTGGCGTAGTCTCGACCCTGATGCTGCATCCGCTGGACCTCATCAAGATCCGATTCGCAGGTGAGTCATACTAGCGCATTGGCGAAAATGGCGACGATTGTCACGTTGCACTTTGCAGTGAACCAACACGTGGTGCTGCGCACTGTCGATCTTCTACGGGGAAGAGCCGCGTCGACCGTGTCTTCTTGATCGTTTCGGCGCTTCGTTGAGCGCCAAGAACGGTATCAGCGCTGTGAAGTTCGCTCGCCGCAGTAGCTTGCGAAAGTATCCGTGCGATTTCGTCAACCTGCGAATGCACGTTTTTCGCCGGAAAAACTCCGTGAGAAGCTACGTGCCGTTTCCTATGAGGAGGAAAATTGTGGAAACGGAGTTTCCTTGGTCTTTGCATTTTCGTTCTGTGTGCATCGGCTTTTTTGTTCTTCCTCCCTCCCTTCTTTCCCTCTCTCTCTTTCTCTCTCTCTTTCTCATCTTTTCTCTTTCGATCGATGCGAGAAACGAATCGAACATTCTCGTCTACTTTGATATTTTAGATTTTTGCCCAATATTTCGCTTGTTTTTCGGGTTTGGACCACGTCCTGCTTGTATTCGGTCCCGACGTTTCGTAAACATTTCAATTCACTTCAGATAGCAGGGTGACCTGAAACGATTCTCTTCTACTTTTGTCGGGGAATCGTCGCTGCGGCGACGAGTCCTTGGCCTCAGCGGTGATTTTAATTCGCGTTTTACTGGCGCGATAGGATTTAATGAGCGGCAGTCAAGGTATATACGGATAGAAGTCGGGATGTTGGAATACATCGGAGGTGGAAACAGAGAAAGGAACTTAGACATCGCGAGCGGGAGAGTCGTTCGCTGTCCGTGAGCAATATTGGGAGAAAGTAATAACGAAATTTCAGCTGGTCTGGCACAATGTCGCACTTGACGAACACGAAGAATCCGAAGGGGATTACGAAACGTTTCCGCTTGGAGATGTTTATCACGGGGACGCCGTTTCGACAATGTTTCGTCATCGCCCCGCAGAAACGCACGACTGATATGAGCGTAGGGACACGTGCGGGATTAGATAAGGCGGTGGAAATTCTGTATTAGGAATATCGCTACCACAACTCATATCTCAATTAGGAATATCGCTCACTTACTATCTTGCGCGATTATTCACAAATTTTCTTTAATATCTCGTTAATATTCTCTATTAGTTGTCCTATTACGACACCGTCTTCTAGATACGGCAACGTTGAAGTATGTTCCGATATTCAGTACCAGTACTGCGAACATATACAGTTTATGTTACGTATTCTACAGATTTCAAATACTGACACTGAATATCGGAACGTACTTTAACGTTATTGTATCTGAGACACAATATTGCAAAAACTCCCTATTATTTGCGACAGTGTTATTGCAGCCTGTCGTACGGAGACGGAAATGTTTCGCAATCGCGCCGGAAGAACGTGCTTCAGCTCATTTGCTGAACAAGATTGCCAGATGTCAAAATTGAAAAATCTCCACAAACTTAAGCCTCCTTGTATCTCGCCGCGACCATGTTGGATTTGTGACGTCAGAAGTGAGGAATGACACGAAAGTTGCGTGCCATTTCTAAATAAAGATAAATACGGACAAAAGAGCACTTGAGATCGTTTGATAATATTTATAAAATTGTCTGAAAAGTATCCCTTCCTCTGACGACTGATAAATAGTTGTATAATAAATGGTGAAATGAAGCATACAAACAAAACAGACTTATTCCATCATCGTGTTTCATTTCACCATTTATTATACGACTATTTATTGATCATTAAGGTAAAGGGATACTTTTCGGACAATTTTACAAATGCGTACAAGCAATCTCAAATGTTTTTTCATCCATATTTATCTTTATTCAGAAATGGCACGCAACTTTCGTTAGCATGTCATTCCTCGCTTCTGAAATCACAAATTTGACCTGGCCGGCGAGGTACAAAGAATCTTAAAGAAAAAGCTGGGAATGCAGTTTGTGAAAATAAATTTTTTGAAGTATATATAAATTTATATCATCATAAAAAAATATAGCAAGAATAAAAAAAATATTATAGTAAGCATATAAAAATATAAAAAAATAAAAAAATTGGAAGTGTAGTTTATAAAAATATTTTTTGAAGAATATATTAATAATATACAGAAAAATGGTAGAGGATTTTTTTATTCAGTTAAATGTATAAGCATACGACGGCAGATATCGCTACTACAACTCATTTACTATATTTCGCGCGATTATTCATAAATTTTCTTTAATATCTTGTTAATTATTGCGAGTATCGCAAAATAGTACAAGACTTTTATGTTCACTTTAACATATACTATGCCTCTACGAGTGTTTGGAAGGTTATTCTGAAACGTCCTGTATAATCATTACAATAAAACGATAAATAAAAAATATATTAAAGTAAGTAAAAATATAAGAATGTAATCAGATCTATAAAATTATAATTGACAACGGCAAGCAAAAAAATATATTGTTACAATAATATAATTTAAATATATGTTATTATTTATATTAAAAACTATATATTAAATATATTATATTAATATTAATAATTTTAATTTAATATAATTAATTATATTAGTATATCAAATATGTTATTATATATATAATAACATATTTATATATAATAATGTTATTATATATTAAAAATATATTATTACATTATGTGGTTATAAGTTTATAATTATAATCATCATGACAGTGACAAACGGAGAAAATTAGACAAAAAATATAATACTTTATTTTAAATATATGTTCAGATTCTATATATTTTTATCTTAATTTATAGGTTAAGATTATACGTAGTTCTTTCAACGTACATATTTAAAATTAAAATCAATAGTGTATGTTATTGAATGAACTAAATATATTTATGGCAGCCCGCAATGACATTTTATTGAATCAACTCTTTTTTTTAATTCTAATAACATTTTGTTCTCAGTGTAGACAACCTAGAACATTGATAGTAAAATCTCCAGTTGAAATCTGACTCTAGTTGCAATCTGGTCTGACAGCTCTATTACTAAAACGTTTTTATGTGTTCCCGTGATTTGATTGAGTAATAGATGTCGGATTGATTTAAGTAGGATCTAGTATGGAGAAGGAAATTTGATGGAATTAAAAAAAATTGAATGTGTGACAACAAACAAACCAAACGCATTTTAAAATTGAAGAAAATAGAATTTTTATAATTCTAGAAATTCTGTTTCTTTGAAAATAATTCGTGCATTGTCGAAATTATTTCTCTGTAATTGATTTGAATTTGATAGGTCGATTATACGATCGATATTTAAAAAAAAGGATTTATGATCGTAACGAAAATGATCTTGATACGAGAAATTAGCTAAGAGAGATAAATAGGAATAGCAAACACTGCGATATCGCATATGTTTTGTATTTAATCAATATAGCTGAGAAACGGAATTTTTATCTGAATTATTTGTGAAATTTAACAAGAAAACCTGTCTGTGACATCCATATAGGTTAAAGCCAGTCATTCTTATAAAAATTGATTATGGTAAACAAAAAAGATTAGCTACGAGAGATAAATGAATGTAATATTCACTTAAATTTGCTTGCAAATATTGCTAAAATGCTACTGCCGTAATCTCTGTGTATCACAAACAATTCTCTAGCAGATATAAAAACCAAGGACAAACTGCGGCGTTTCAAGGTTCATCTATAATATGCGGTTTAAGGGGACTGGAGGGTCAGATTGCCTGAAAATAGTGTTTGTTCTTTTACAATTTTTTATGACAAACTGAATAAATATGCGAAAGTATTATTTTGACGTATATTTATACAAATAAAGAGAAGAAAAATATAATTTTGATGATACTCAAATACTCAATATAAGTATATAGTACATGCAGTTAAAATATTTCATATTTCTTTTCAAGTCATTTTGCAGTAATATCTTGACTCTCGGTGGTTCAATTAAGCTAAATTTTAGGTTGAAAATGTGAACCACTGACAAACTCGTGAAAATATTTAATTTTGAAATATTAATTTTTTTACTATAAAGAGACTGAAAATTTAATAATATTCCATTAAAATATTTGCAATTTTGTTTTATTCAATTTATTTTATAACTTTTATTCAATTTCTATTATAGTGGTTCACACGATAACGACAAATTTTCTACTTAAAATTCAGCTTAATTAGAGAGTATTACTGCAAAATGATTCCCTTGAAGAGAAAAACGAAATATATTTTAACTGCATGTACCATACACTTATATTGATTATCAAAATTATATTTTTCTTCTCTTTATATGTTATATAAATACACGTCAAAATAACATTTCGCATATTCACTCAGTTTGTCATAAAAGATTGTGAAAAAATAAGTATGATTTTCAGGCAATCTGACCCTCTAGTCTCCTTAAGTTTGGCGTAAGTTGGAATAAGAAATAACAATAATTTATTTTGCTTACGCCTATATTCTAGGCTTACGCCTACTTCCCTTACACCGGAAGTATTTCTCTGAAATAAATTTACTCTGCATATTGTAGACGGACACTTGCTTTCATTTATGTCAAGTTTATTCTGTGTATATTGTAGACGAGTCTTTATAAGTCTACTTGGACCAGCAAAACATTTTGTTGAGTGAATGCGAAATCGGCAGAAATGAATTCTCACGGCAGCTGTGAGAGAGCTTATCCGCCGAGGTAGAGTGTGTATAGCTGTCAATTTCACGCGTCGTGACAAGTCAAACAGATCGATCGAATCACCGTTCTGAATAATCGTATGCTCCGTCGCGAATACAATCAAGCTGGAACCGCTTATTCTTGTTACGTGTGGCTATTAAACTCCCCGAGGTTACGTCCATATGTCATTTACGAGTAGACTTTAAAGCTTGATTTACAATCATTTTTGCTTCCCGTTTCTCTTTCTTTATCTCTTTCTGTCTCGACTTTTAAGCCTTAATCTTAGTGTTTTCTTTCTGTTTCTTTCTCTTGATCTCTTTTTTACTCAAACTTTAACCCAAAAAAGATAGGAAACATGAAACAAAGAGTACATTGTGGATTAGACTTTAAAGCTTGATCTGCAATATGTTATTTGTCTCTTGTTTCTTTTTCTTTATCTCTTTCTGAGATAAAGCACACTTCAAGCCTTCAAGCACATCTTAAGCCTTCAACTAAAAAAAGACAGAGGACAAGAAACAGGAAACAAAAAGCACATTGCAGATTAGGTTTAAATCAGAAAAAGACACAGAAAAAGAAAGCAAAGAGCACATTGTAAATTAAGCTTTAGCCCAAATCTGCAATTTGCTTCTTATTTCTTTCTCTTTATCTCTTTCTGACTTATCAAGTTTTAATCAGAAAAAGAATTATACATAGTGAACAAGAAACAGGAAACAAAGAGCACATTGTAGAGCAGACTTTAAGCCAGAAAAAGACAGAACAAAAAACAGCAAGCAAAGAACACATTATATAGATTAAGCTTAAATGTGTGTGATTAAGTTGTTTGATGCTACCTAGGAGGAATATTATAAATTATATTATGAATAAGGGTAGAAAAACAAAAACAGAAATAAAGATAAAGATAATATAGTTGAAATTAGGTTTAGATATTTATGCTAGCATTTTCCTTAATGTTGTATAGCGCCCTGAATATTCTTTCGTTGTCTATGAATGCCAAATAGTCTACTGAATTATTCAGTAATTAGCTATTTGCAGCTATTCCTAAGTAATATAGTTCATATATTAGTATTTTTGTTGTTTAAAAAGTAATCATTTAAAGAAAATATGGTCTAAGGCCGGTATTTATAGTCCGATCTTATATTTAAGATCATCTTAAATACTGTCTTAAGATGTCATGAACCAATTACAGAGTCGTACTCGCATCTTAAGACATTACTTAAGACGGTCTTGAAATAAAATTCGAACTATGAATACCGGCCTAAGTCTTGGAATTTTTTGAGCCGTACATTCGCAGTTCGATTTTTCTACGATGTTTTTATCCTAAAGATATGATTTAGCGCTTGTATGCTGTGTCCTAATCTTTGATATTAGTGCAATAATTTCTCTTGGCAAACGCTTTAAATTTTTGAACCATTCGTCTTTTAGCCAGGGTTCCTTTCTACGAAAATATCTAGCTCCTTTTTGGAGTGTAGGGTCTCGTAGGAACGATTCTTCTTTGATATTCGCTAGTATATTCTCCCGAATCGCTCACATTCATATCACTCGTTCGAAAGATACGAGCACGATTTCCGCGTGGCGCGGGAACGGGACCTTCGTTCTTCGCTCTCATCCGCTTTAAGCTCGCCGAGGCTCTCGACGACACCTCATCAGCTATTTACATCACCTTTAATTGTGACGTCACAGACCAGTGGATAAAATAGAACTTTTTTTTTTCACACGGGGGCATATCGCGATATCGCGAATTCGAGGTGAGAACCGTGTGCGCGTCGTCGGATTCCCAGCGGAATATTTGTTGGCCATTCACCAAGCGTCAAGTCACGAGAATCCCGCGCGTTGCGTCAGCGACACGTGACTGCTGTTATTGAGCCGCTTGGTCGCGCGTGGCCGGATTGCGCGCGCTCGAGCAGTCGGATGGTCCGGGATTCAACAGATGGTGTGAATAGAGGGAGTCTTGCCTTCGTGAGATCGTCACGGGCGCGTTTATTCTCGGAGATGCGAACGCACGTCGCAGCCGACTGCGATCTTCGTCAGCGTCGATCCCCCTCGTTATCGCCCGAGAACTATTCCCCGCGCTATCGCGATAGCGAGATGAAAATTTTCTCGGTAAATAAGACGCGCGCGGGATGAGTATCGCTGTTTTCAGTACGGCATCCGAGATACGCGATACGCGGGTCCAACACTACGACATTTATGCGGTGATAAGAGCGCGCAGATATACTCGATGTTCGATATTTGATACTTGGAATTTGTGTACATACGCGACGAGAGAGCGTGTGTACCTAAACGTTACATTTAAATAGTGTCTATCACGAGGCGACGCGTTATCGCCTGCTCCTTTCGTAAATAGAAGCGAGCGAGAGAAAGCGGACTGTGCGATAATTAACATACGAAATTGAATATATTACGTGATGGCGGTCGTGTGTAATTTGAACGAAAGATAGAAAACGCTTTCATGTGGACGATTAACTTTGCTGACATGGCTTCACTGCTTATTAGATAATAATAATAAAATAATAATAATAATAAAAATATAGTAATAATTATAATATAATATAATATAAATAATAATTATAAAAAATATACTATATCGACTGCTGCAGCGATTTCACATTTGTAACTATCATGACTAATTAATAAGTAAATTTTAAAATATATTAGATATAATATAGAAAAATTATAATAATATAAAATATAATATATTATAATAATATAAAAATATAATAAAAAATATATAATATATATAAAAAAATATATATGTGAATATATGGATATATGGATATATTAACTCCCCCCTCTCTTTACACACGGCACATCTTCTGACATACTTACACTGCGTTTTCGTTCTTATTTGTATAATCTCATAAAAGTGCTAATAAAAATTTATGAAAAATTATGAATATACTTTTAAAATTAGAAATATAGAATTTTAAATATAGAATAGAATTATGTAAAACAAGAAATAATTACAAATATTTACTTGTGTACTTTATTTTATTGCAAATATAAAAAGAACTCGATAAAACCATAAGTTTACATAAAAATTTGTAACTTTTCTAGAAATAAATTAAAAAAATTATTCTAGGATTTTCTTGTGTGTGTGTGTGTGTCGATATTTGAATCTTTAGGAATCAAAACATTACACATTTTAATTTATTAAAATGTGTAATTATTGGAGTATATAAAAATATATAATTTTTTTTGCTGAGGGTCGAGTAAAATAATGAATAGTTACAAGTTTTTGTGATATTAATCTACTATATAAAATACGAATTTTATTAAGAAAATTTTATAAAAACTAGCTATATATCTGAATCTTTTTTGTTCGAGGTTAAAGTTTGACGATACAGAAATCTTGATCACGTATATAAAAGTAAACAAACTACTTACATACAACTTTTCGTATATATTATATTTAATGTAAAGAAGCGAAATATAACGTAAAATTACCTTTATTTTAGACTTTGATACTTTCCTCTGGCACGCTGGGGTTAAAAACGATTCTATAGTAATTTTGCGTTTTTATTACGTGGCAGGTAACTGAAATGGCATAACTGTGTAGACCTTTTCATCGATTGTAACTTTCTTTAGCGCTGAACTGAAAGTTTTCTCTCGCATTTCACGAATTGAAGGCAATTTAAAATTTAAAATCGGGTGAGATCAAAAATGACCTTAGTGTGCTAGATTTAATAATCAATTGTTAATAATCAATTGAAAATGCATGACGTTATTTCTGATTAGCATTACGAAAGCTTCGAAAAATTCAAGCGAATATATTGAATTGAAAAAGTACTTTATTTGTAATTATAATGAATTACTTAATTAATTGTTAGTTAATTAGTTACAATTAAAAAAAAGATATTTTGACATATATATGGAATCGATTGTTGTAAAAATACACAGAAAAACTTAAAAAGAAAATTCCGTTGCACTTTGTAGATATGTTGATACTCCAGCATTTAAAAATATCATTAGATTATCATATCGTTTTCTCTTATTATTATATGTATATAAGTATTTAGGTGAGATTATCGAAAAGTAAATGTTCTAGCTATTTTATATCTGATTGGAAAATATCATGATAAATATTTCGCAAAGTATTCATTTTTTTATTGTCTTCCCAGCTCTTTTATATGCAGAATGGCTGAAAAAATTGATTTATATTTAAAAACCACGAGTTCTTAAAAAAGAAGTAAAGTCCTTAGATCTTTCAAGTTACTCCACTCAGAAAAGAAAATATTGTCATCATAAGACGACCGCTTCTGTATCTTGAAATTTTTGTAATTTGTTAGATAAATAATTTTTTTACTTTTGTATTTAGAAGATATTTAAGATGAAAACAGTTTGAGAGCAGTTATTGTTTTATTCTGTAAAAAGTTCGAAATACTTACCAATGAATTCTTAGAGACATTTTGTAATGTTTACAGTGATAAGGTCGAATGTTTTTCGTCTGATAAAAATCTACGACTTCTTACGGAAGAGATTTGTCTAATTGCTTTCGTCTTCCCATTGCAGTGAACGATGGCCAGGCGGGTGGAGCACCGCGGTATAACGGTCTCAGAAGTGCTATCAGCCAGATCGTTAAGACCGAGGGATTACGTGGACTTTATAGGGGTGTAACACCGAACGTTTTGGGATCAGGCAGTTCGTGGGGTTTCTACTTTTTCTTGTAAGTCCGCAATGTCTGGAATTGGACGTGCTTTATTCGGCATGATGAGTTGAAAGCGATGAGTAATTCTAATTTGACGCAGCATTCTAATTAAATTGAACAATTAGAATCTGTAATAGCTCGACTCGGAGAGGACCGTTGTAGAGTCCGAGCACTCGAGAAAATTACGGTAGATAGCAATAAATTTCCATGTCGTTGAAACTTGTAAATATAGCAGAGAACAAATTTATATCAATTCCCTTGGTTATAAATTGAATCAGTTTCTTCAATAAAGAGTGACGTAACACACGAACGAATGTTGAGTTTCGTTACAATTTGTAAATAGTAGGACAAATTTATATCAATTTTCTTGGTTATAAATTGAATTTGTTTCTTCAGTAAAGAGTGATGTAACACACGAATGAAATTCTCAACGTTCATTCGTAGATAACGAATGATGATAGACTAACGGAAAGATCGCATTGCAGCTACAATACGATAAAGACCTCGATTCAAGGTGGGAATTCGAAGAAACCGCTCGGACCATCCATGCATATGTTCGCCGCTGCTGATGCTGGAGTGCTCACCTTGCTTATGACTAACCCGATATGGGTAGTAAAGACGCGGTTGTGTTTGCAATATGCTGAAGACGTGAATATGGCGGAATCCAAGAAATATCGCGGGATGGTAGACGCTTTAAAGAAGATTTATAAAACGGAGGGCATTAGAGGCTTGTATAAGGTACGCGAGAACGTTGTCTCGACGAATCTTAGGTCCAGTTATGACTAAACTTTGTAGAAAGCTTTTGACTGTTTTAATGTTAGTGCAAAATTATCGCACGGTTGCATTTTCTGCAGGGTTTAGTTCCTGGATTGTTTGGTGTCTCACACGGAGCGATTCAATTTATGGCGTACGAAGAAATGAAAAATAAATACTACAATTATTTGAATGTAGCCATTGATACGAAGCTGGTAAGTTGAAAGATATATTTTATATATATATTCACACATATTTTCCTAAAAAATTTCACGTACTATATTAGCGGCTTAATTCAATTTTTCACTCAAATTTTCGAAATCCTCACCGTTACAATACACGACATATCTTTTCACATGTTGTATTTTATTGGTATATTTGTAATATTATCTAACGGAAATGTTACTCATGAATTAATTATTGGGGAATTAAGTTAATGAGTATTAAGAGTTAATGAGTAATATATACTACTTCTTTTTTAATTCTTGATATATTATTGTAATATTAATTAAATTAAAGGATATATAAATCATTATTAAGGTGATTATTTAAAGTAATTAAAATAATTATTTCGAAAAGGTTACACTTCACGTATTATTTTGATTTTAATATACATTATAGAGAGTGGAATTCTGAGTCATCTGTACTTTAAATCATGTTGGGTTTTTCGTGTAGTTCTTGGAATATGACTTTAAAATTTTGTAAATTTTAATCTTTATTATTCCAAACATATATACTATTTTAGTCAAATAAATTTTACATTATATTATATATAGAATAGAGCTATTCTTCACTACTATCATTCCAAACATATTGTGTGTGTTATTTTTCTTTGTTTATATTTTCTATTTACATTTGCTAGTCGCCTTTAAATACTAGCGTTTCCTTCATAAATGTGATGATATTCGTGAATCTTTTGTGAACTAAATTGATAAGTATCATGTGCTACAATAACAAATTTAAAAAAACCAAGGTCCCTGAACAAAGCTTGAGCTAAAACAACTTATCAATGAAATACTTCTTTATAAATTTCGCTACACTTCTAAACTCAACGTATTGAACGTGAATCCTTTTTTCAGTACTTTTATTCTTCATTATACAACGTACTTAACCTATGTTTAACATAAGAAATGTATAGAAAGATGAATAATATGAATGATATGTTTAGAGTGATAGCTATACAATAAACAGAATAGACAGAAACAACTGATATTATAATCTGATATAAAATTATAACACTTTGAAGCGATTTCAAAGTGATTCAAAATACTCAAAATCCCTCTGTAACATATTATGCTCAAAGATCCCTCTATAACATATTATGTTCAAAAGAAATATGGCATGAAAAAATCATAGACAAAAATAGGTGAGAAATTGGTGGAAACCTAAAAATGGTTGTTAATAAACGATTCTTATTACAGAGTACAACGGAATACATCATCTTTGCGGCAATGTCAAAACTGATCGCCGCGGCGTCTACGTATCCTTATCAAGTGGTGAGGGCTCGACTTCAGGATCATCACCACGACTACCGGGGTACCTGGGACTGCGTTCAGATGACTTGGAGGTCAGAAGGGATCAGGGGTTTCTATAAGGGTTTATCACCTTACCTTTTACACGTTACGCCAAACATATGTCTCATTATTCTTATTTACGAGCATTTTACTAATGGTAGTTAATTCGCGTGAATACCTTATCGCTGTGGTCGTAAGTGAAAACCTCTGCAACTCTAGACAATTACCGTAATCATTTTTATTTTTGTTTTTTTTTTTTTTTACGTTATAGAGCGTAACATCATATATCGTAATATAAAGCGTAACGATTTATCGAAACTTATGATGCAAGAATGGGTGTGTGTATGGTCTTTCGACGATGACGTGGCCGTAGTACTCAATCTTTTAATATAAACAAATATCACACGTCCCGCGCAACCACTTGTGAAGCGGTGCTATGCGGTTAGTTGTTATTCGCATTAGCTATAGTAGACAAATTTTTGTTATTCCGAGGAAAAATGTCGTATAGAGTAATTTTACTTTCTCGAGCACTCTTGTGTTCTGAGGATCGGCTGCAAAGATCATTAGCAACATTTTTTATTTGTTTTTCTTTCCGATAGAGGACACGCAGATGGCGGTCTTCTATCCTATGTGCGCGTCAAGCGCAGACACATTTTTTCGATATTTTCTATGATTTTTATTTCTTTTAATTTGTATATTAGATTCATGTTGAGTCATATGACGCTGAAAGGAGATGTCCGAAATAGGGAAAATATTTTTTAAGAAGCTGGTACTACTATTGCCCTTTTAATTTCTCGCTCATAGATCGCAAATGAATGAACGGATCTTGAAATGACAATAGTTTGCACGGCGCCACGCGCGTATCTTACATAGGATGTATGTTTTATTTATTCTGTTCACACGCTTTATTATCCAAGCACATTGAGAGACTGCGATAGCGATAGAACGAACGGATGAAGTTACTCTATTATTCCTCTTCCTAATTTATAAAGCTTTAACTTACAAATTCACGACGGAATTTGGTTGACGTGCTTTATATGCAATCACGGCTTTGTTATAATACAAGACAATGTATTTTAACTGAAACGCCTCATTGAAACTTATATAAGGCATGTCACACGACGATTAGACTACTACAAAAAATAAGGACTCCCGTTTGATTGGCGTATCGCGTGGACGATTTGAGCGTCGGCTAAAAACTCGATTTAGTCGAACATACAAACCTATTGACACGCTTGTTTATACGCAAATAAAAGTGGAAAGAAATGAGAAACGTGTCGAAGTGAAACTGACGATTTATGCGCAAGCACGCGTAAACTGCAACACACCGAAAAGATATTCCAGATATCGCGTCGCGGAAGACGGCGTAATCTCGAGTGACGAGATCGGTAACCAAATATTCGCATAACCATGCAAACAACCTCATACTTTCGATGCATAACGCGCGAACAAAAAAAAAATATATATACGAATTGATGATTTCTGTGTCTCCGCTCCATTCGGCGAGTTTAGTGCGTATGAAAAGTCGCTCGGCTTTCCCGGCGACTTCTATTCTGTTTTGTTTTAGGTTTAAGAGCAAATGTAGCGAAAATCGGCTGAATCTGTATTCTATCTTGTTTCCTACGACGAGAGAGCTGCTCTACTACTCCGTAACGATTACTTACCTCATTCTAATTAAATGGAGCACATTAGAGTTCGCAAATAGCTCGAATCCGCAGAGGATCGTCGTAGAGTCTCCGAACACTCGCGAGAGTTACGGTAGATAGCAATAAGATTCAACGTCGTTGCAACTTGTAAATAGTAGGACAAATTTATTTATATGAATTCCCTTAATTATAAAAATGAATCTGTTTTTTCGGTGAAGAATAACAAAACACATGAGAGAAGACATTCGAGCAACATTGTGACGATATTAATAAACTCACACACACACACATATCGAAGGTTGTCTGTTATTGAATTGCTACCAACTTCTGATTACTTCACTATCTGATCATTCTATCTTTATTATCTGCATCTATATGATCATCATATACACGCATTCTAATGTATAATCATCGTCACCATCATCACCGTCGTCCCTGGATTTTATTTCTTCGTTCTATCTCCCGATTATATCAATATTTATTGACAATTTCCTCTTAATGAGCTGCTGATCGAGCAGCGGGATATGCTATCGTGACGTAATCACGATTTAATTAAATAACGTTCATCTCGATTATATTTTCCAACGAAAGTATTTATATTAGGCGGCTTGCTAACTGATAACATGTGCAACGGCGTCATGCGTTACGACGAAGGTTGGGTGTAGTAGTTTAAGCCACCAGCAGTACGATTTTTGTGAGCGTACGATTTTTTACGATATCACACAGACATGTCCAGCGCGTATCGCAAATCTCTAATCAGAGAGATTTTTCGATCGTGATAAGAAATACAAACGAATAAGAACAACGCCTTAGTTTCCTTTGTTGTTGCGTAATTCGAAACGTTTTTATATGTATATTTTTTTCTTTTTTCATTCGTAGAAAATCTCACGTGGCATCAAGAATCGTACGCGGGTTAAATTAATAATGAGTGTCTTTCCCGGAGTACGCTTCGCGTTCTCGAGAGCAAAGCAAAGAGTAAAACAAAGGCGTATTGCTGGTGGTTCGTTGCAGGTATGAGAGTTGGCGTGGCTTTTACAAGGGATTAAGCGTAAACCTGACCAGAGTGACCCCAGCGACAGTTATTACGTTCGTGGTCTACGAAAACACAATACATTATCTGCGATCCAGCAGCGCTACTGCGGGAGAAACGATTGCCGTGTCTGCGCCTGCGACTAGTCAGCTGAAGGGGTAAGGTAAAACTCCTCCACGAGACGCTGCCGCTTATGAGACAACACGGATCGCATACTGGGAATCACGTAGACGCATCGTCGCATTCGTGTGTCTGCTGATGAATTCGATGGAATCCAGTTGTATAGTAATCACGGTTAAAGCAGAATACTTAGAAATAAGAAAGAAAGATTTCCAGCTTTGGAGGATACAAAGATTCGAGTTTATTGTATTTCACTTTCCGATGAACAATTTAGAATATGAATACATAATTTTAATAATAATTTAACCGGTGCAGCACGCGTCAAATCGTGTTACTTTTTAAGTTACTTTTTAAGTATTTTGAAGTGAAATTTCTGAAAATATTCACTGAGGAAGCAATAGTGAAATTGTCACCAGAAATCGTTAGAGTGAATATGTCAGCTAAGAATGGATTGTGACTATATAATAGAGCGAATTATATCACTCTTTATAGTAGAGTGAATTTGATTTTCTGTTACAGTTCTTTCTGTTATAGTTCTGTTATTGTTATTTGATCTCCTGTTATAGTTGAATACGTTAGATCCATTCTTCAATTTTGAGCTCGACCAGAGGATTTGTATGAATGGAAAATCATTCAGATTTGACCGTCACTTTAGTCTTACGCCCTTATTCTGTGAATCCTCTTTTATTGAGAAAATTTACTCAATAAGTGTGACTTATTATTGCTCTCTAAATGTGACTTCTAAACTTTCTGATAGCCCTTCTGTTGCCTGTCTGTCGCAGAGGTTACTTTTATTGATAAAAGAGAGTTCAGAACAAGAGCTACAGGATGAAAAAGCACTTTAAGACACTTAGATACTGTTGTGTGAATTAGTAGTTATTGTTATTAATTGTTTCTTATATGGAACATGCGTGTGTGAATAATGTGAGGCGCGCATAATCTATCTGAGAGCGCGTTTTCTATATTCAATTAGGTAATTCAATAAAAGCGTGTTAATTAACGTCCGTCGACTAAGTATTGAGATCGCATTTTCGCGATAATTTCCAAGAGATACGTATTAGTTTTTCGTTTCATTCTTTCATGATTTGTTTTATATTTTGTATGTACTATTTCTTATTTTTACAAACAGATTTTATAAAATGTCTAGATATAGCTTCCGGAATGGAGCCGTGTCTTGAATCAGCGATATGCCAAGACACGGCTCCATTCCGGAAGCTATATCTAGACATTGTATCAATGGCCGTGAAAGCCTCAAATCTAGATTTTATAAAACTTTATTTCTGTTGATTTAATAATTTATGTACGGTTTATCTATATAACTGGCACAATACTAACATTTGTCAACTTTTGCAAGCAGATATTTCTGGCACGACGCATGTAATGCTAATAAATATTGCATTTATTAATTATGAAGATAGCCGTTTACGTAGCTCCGACGTGATTGCTCACTAGGTCAAAAGGATTCACGGGACATTTCTTGTAACGTCGGTCGCAATGCTGCTCACGTTCGGCTTCTATGATTTCATTTGGGAGATTTTCGTCTCTCGAGCTAGAGGGCCTATGACAGAGATATAAAACAATGTTACAACTTCAAAGTTTAATCACAGAGATATTCGACGTTAGATATCACGTTAGATATCACAGGTAAATAATAATTGAATATTTTCTTTGATAGTTTCACAAGCCAATAGAAAAAAGTCCATTGCGGAAAGTTAGTTCTAGTTAGTTAGTTGGTGCGAAAACTTGTTTCTCCTGTGAATTCGGAGATCCGCACGTAAATAAATCGCAAAAATGTGGCATATTTTTTTTAGGCGCATTTGTTCGAAATAGATATCGTAAATCCTTATCATTTGAGATAGGCGAATATGAGTAAAACGGAGAAAATTTAATACGCTTCTATGCAAGATTTTCGTTATTATTGTGTTTGTATCGTCTCCGAGATTCGTTAGCACGAATGAAAATAAAACCGGATTTATATGTTACTGTACGTTTTATTTCCCGCATTGCTTATTCGTAAGGCTCGTCTACACTATAAAAAAAATTGATCGGAACAACTTAGAATCGAGTTGAGCGAATTCAATTACGGAGTTGTGTATGGCGAACTAATAGCTTAAATTCTTTCATTATTATTTTAATGTTCTTGTAATCTCTTATTTGTATCAAATAAGTTAAATATTCAATACAACTGATTAATCATGATATTGATTTGACTATTCCGAAAAGTAACAGTAACACCAATAAAACACCCAGACATCATAATGTCTAAAATCAGAATATAAGGCGTCTTAAAGATAATCTTTAAAACGCCTTAAAGACATTTATCGCCTTAAAGACGTAAATCGTCTGAAAGACACCTTAAAGAGATAATCTTTAAGATAATCTTTAAGATGTCCCGATTTTAGACATTATGTTGTTTGAGAAGTAACACCAAATGAGTTGTCAAGTGTAACAAGAAATAGTTGTTAATAGTAGCAAGAAGTTTAACTCAACTTTTCTTTCAAGTTGAATGCGTTACATAACATTATCAAAGGGAATATAATATTTCATTAAATTCTATGTATATGATAGACCGTTAATTTAAACAGTGTCTATCCTGTTATTTACAAGAAATTAACGATTTAAATTTAACAGTAAAAGACATACTAGTTGATATAACCGAAGGATGCCAGATAACTTCAGAAAAGGATTTTGTACAGTTGGAATATATAAGGAGACACACACATAAAAACAAAATAAATTATTTTTACATTTCTTATTTCAAATTTCTTACTTCAACTTACGCCAAGTTCATTCCGCGTATTGTAAACGAGCTTGTATGCACACAATTATGAAAATATATTCAGGTTGTTCCTCCCTGATGAAACGGACTGAAATGTTCGCGAAACGTCGGAATCAAACAAAGAAGAATCCACGTGGCTCAAATCCGGAAACCAAATCTAAAATATATATATTTTTTAATACTTACGTAAATACAATCTGCAGGATGTCACCGAGCACTCCATTTTCGCTTAAAGGATATTTTGCAGCTTCGCAAATTATTCTCAGTAAACAATCCAGTCCAGGATAGCCCAGGCTTGTGCAAGACACACATATGAAATTACAATATGCGAGTTTTTGTATTGTGTATTTATGTGAGTCGTTATGTGAGTCGCTAAATTATACTTTAAAGTAGTAATTTTTTGTATCATTACGAAAAAAATATCAGGACAAGCTTTACAGTGAAAGTTCTCCATAATCGCGATACGAAAGAAGTATAATATTGATAGATCTACCTTTCTAGTTTCTTTATAGATGCTCTATACACTAACTGACGATCAAGACTTCGTTTCGTGAAATAATTTTCTTCGTGATAATAACTCGAATTCCACGGTAATCCGTAATTTGCCTCAAAGTAAAACGACACGGCGATCGATTTATCGGGAATATCTACTGGAATTCCGACAGCAAAGAATATCTACAAGTGAAAATGTGTAAATATACAAGTGTAAATATGTAAATGCACCATCCTCTATCCACACTCAAAAAACCTTTATTTTTATTTTAATTTATAATAAGTTTATCAGTTGCAGGTAGAATATAAGCAAATATTAAATAATCTAATAAAAATGTATCGGAATAATGGACGTATAAACCAAACGCGTTTTCACAATTTGCTTCTTGTTATTTTATATTTTCAAGAGTGTAAAATGAAAGTAAAATGTTATAATCAATCGCTCTTGGCGGCAATGATAAAACTTAGATAGATTTTCGTGATTATCACGATATGAAACAATTGATAATGGCAATATTACAATTCTTTTAATTACATTGATGGACCAAATATACTGTACTAAATTAATTATTAACCATTGTAGGCAATATATATTTTTTACTTTTTCTGTGGCCATATGTGACCAAAAATATATATATGACCACATTTGTGACCAAAAATATGTCTGTGATATTAAGTCTCATTCACTTACATATAATTAGTGTTGTTAATGAATAATTAATGGTATTTGAATAATCGGTCGTACGGCTAATAAAATGTCAATAAAAAAGTATATATATACACATATATACACACACATATACATATATATACATACGCACACACATTCATATGCATATATATATATCTGGGATAATATACGTATTTAAAAGACGTCATTATGATGTTATTAAGATGTTATTAAGATGTCATTAAGATGTTATTAAGATGTTATTAAGATGTCTAAAGACATCTTATAGACATCTTACTTCAGAAGTCTTAGTAGACTCATAGTCTACAACCTTGTTTTAAATCGTCAGAAATAGCCGTAAGCAAATTGACCAATCGCAATTGATTATTCCAAGAATAACTTATTATAGTTGGTCAATTTATTTATGGCTTACGGCTTAAAGCAAAGACTAAAGCTTGACTAAAGCTTGTGGACTAAGATAAATATATCTTAAAGACATCTTATTTTAGACGTCTTTATGACGTCTATTGAGTAACATTTTTAAAACTATATATAACTGTCCACATTACTGACTTGAGATTTATGCACATTGTTGCTATAGCAACTGTTATTTTTGTTTATAACGACCTCTTAGTCTTTGCGAGCGTCGTGTACGCAAAACATCAAAATCTTAGAGAAATTATTAAATTGTGAATTTTTATAATTTGGTTAGTTTACTGTTTTAAGTTGCTGTGCTGAATAAAAATTTCCTTTCTTTCGTATAGATGGTTTTTTAGCAAATGAGTAAAAAAACGATAATAAATAAAACATTCTTTCTTTTTTAATATATAATTATAGAAATCTATAATAACATATATACAGGGTGTTCAAAAAGTCCCGGACCGGTGAAATATCTCGAAAACTAAGCATTTTAGAAAAAAATGTTTCAGATAAAAGTTGTGGCGTTTAAAAAGATGTATTTACTGAT